TCAGAAATTATTCAGTTACAATTTACCCATTACATTTCTCCCTGTCTTTGTAATTTCTGTCACAGTCAGCCATTAACCTAATTGTACAACCACTGCCAATTCACTTCTATGTAATAGTTAAAGGCCAGGAAGATCATGTTCTTTCTCCACAGTCACAGAAATTAATAGCACTACCCTATTCTCTGCATTTTTGAAGAAGAAAAAAAAATGTAATTTACTTTCTAGATCTTTGGTTTTTCTTCTACATAGAGGTTTTCCCTTGATGTTCTCTCCTCTTGTAGAGGTATTAGTTTTTAGTTACTATCTGCAATAGAAGTATTTATAAAAAGTACACGTACTCACTAAAAAATACACTCTAAAACCGAAATTTCTATGATCATTTAGTCTTTAATTTTTTTCACCCTTAGGAATGTTTCTGTTACTGTCTTTATCTACTGTCAGTTCTTCCATATTAATTACCTCTTCAATCCAGCAGTCTAAGATATGAAATTCTAGTGTTCAAGGGTGTAGTACTCTAGCAAGAAGAGTACCTGAGCGTGCCATAAGCATGACCATGTAACTCCAGGAACCAAAAAAAAAATAATCTTGCAGTTTCAGGCTTATTCAGATATTCTTTTAAAAAATAACAATTTTCTGGAAATTATTTTACCATATGATGACATTCAGCCTATCAAAAAATCAACTGAGAGTGAATTGAATATGCAATTACTTTTTTCCATAACAGAAGTTATAAAGAAAGCTCCAGTTGACAGGCAACTATTTTATAGAATAATACTGTTCTTTGCAAGCTGAGTGTTATATATATTTTTCTCTGTTCATTGAGTGCAGTTTCCTGCCACTAAATAACTGAGTTTAATTTCTCAATGTCAAACCATTGCTGTTACCTGCATTTCATGCCAGCTATCAAATAAGACAATTTGTTTTGCAGAAACTGTGTACAATATTTTACTGAAAGAGCAAGTTTTATATTCTTACTACAAATGAATATGTACATATTAATATATACATATTAAAAATAACTATGCTCCCTTTAGTCAACATTTGTTAATTAGGAAATGACATTTTTGATAACATTTTTTTTCTCTCTGACACATAATATTTAGTCTCTTTTGTTTAGTGATTGTTACTCCAAAAAATGTTTGTCCCCCTAGTAATTTACAAGTGTTGGTATGGCAAAGTTCACATTTATTGGTTGTTCTAAAGGGATGAAGTCTCTACAAACTACTCTCAGGTTGTTGCAGCCCAAGAAGCATGTTCAGAAATAACAGATTTTAGGATCATTTCACTTCCATAAACAAATCTTGTAAGGAAATTCCATAATACAACATCCTAGTCCACAATTGTTAAAATCTAAAGATGATCTACAAAACACAGAGAAATAAGTCTTTAAACGATTTACACTAAGTTCTGGCTTATTATATGTCTCCTTATGTATTAAGTAAACAACCTAAGAACTAAAAACTACTGAATTAACATTACTAGTACTTTAAGATTTGAAATATTAGATTAGATATTGATCTCAGAATAATTCAGATTTCCCATTTGTTCTCATGCAGATTTTCAGTAGCATTTCCATAATTTATTATCATTAACAATGATTTTATTATTAAGTTGCAGAATTTTTCTAAAATCAGAAATATTAAAAAGGAGTTTTCTTTTACATAGGGAGTTTTAAGTTGGGAGATTGCATCTGCACCCAAATTGCATTCAGTAATCATAGCAAATTCCCTCCGAGCTCTGAACCTGAAGCATATGGAAGATTGCATCAGGAGATCAACCCTTTCAGATTACAATAGTTTATGATGGTCATCTACGTTTTAATCAGATATAAAGGATTTATTCCTGAAATACATCAAAAAACACTATCCTCACCTCCTGAAATGCATCAGAGAGTTTATAGCCAATCAATTAAAATATGTTGCACATTTTTGCTTTGTATATCTTCCTTTCTGGTGTATACAACAATACATGGATATAGGTGTCGATGATTTTATTAGCGACTGTATATAAGCCTATCAAAATAGAAAGTAGAAAGTGATTTCATATATCAAATCCTCTTTGTTAAAGGTTTAACTCCTGAGCTCAACAAAAAGATGAATTTATGTTTACAATAGATACAGAGTGTTATTTTATGCAAAATGCAGTGCAATGCAATACCATCAGATACATAAAACAGATCATGTATAGTCAGAGACTAGGAAAACTGCATGATTTGAAGTTACAAAAACTTGTCATATTTCTTCTTTTGACCGGAGAGAGCATGAATTGGAATTAGTTTCATCAGGCACAAAGACTGAATAGCAAAATTCATCACCTGAATAAATATGTCTCATATTCCTGACAATTAAGTACCAGACTGATATTGCCAAATTGACAATTATTTCAGGAAAATAGTTTTCTCTGTTGAATTATAATAACTTTTTTTATTCATACATTAATAGTAAATCAAGTGTAAGTGAAATTCAATGGACTAGAAACAACTGCTTGTCAACAGATTGCTGACAGTGACTTATTTAGTTCAATTACTGGAGAAAAAATATTTTTAACAATACTAAGAATGTATTTACAAATCATTTTATCTGAAGAATGAGCTAGTACTAATAGACAGGAAAGGTTTCGAAAAAATAATACAGAGTAGAAACATGTCTCCATCACCTCATTAAAAAATTCCCTGCATTGGTGGCCACAACCACTAGAGGCTGAATAACTCATGATACTTATTAACACTAAATATATGCTTGGTTCCTAAGTGATCCTTACCTTTTCTTCATGCAATAAATTATTTTTCACATTTTAACTTGTTCTCTTTATCTGAACCATAAATGTACATAATGACATCTTATTAGTTTATGGGCTCAGTTTTCACAGAAGTTATTAACACGTGCTTCAAAAAGGTATGAAGGTATAGTGCAATAATCAATTTACAGTAATCTGGATGGACTAACTAGCATCATCATAATATTAGATCTGTGGTTACAATTTCCTAATAGTTTGGTACAGTAGGGGTATTTTTTTCTCCAGAGACTTTTCTGTCTTTCAATTTATTGATGCTAATATTAATACACAATTAGTACTTTTATTATTCTAAGTTTTAGTATTTCATTATGATGATTTCTACTTTGTTTATGAGATTCAAACAAAAGCTTATTTGCTCACATTCCCTAAAGTTCCAAGTATGAATTCTATTTCCAGAAAGTATTTATTACAGACACACAATAGAATCATAGAAGAGTTTGGACTGGAAAGGACCTTAAGAGACTTTCTAATCCAACCCATATGCCATGGGCAGGGACATAGAATCATAGAATCATAGAATCATAGAATCGATTGGGTTGGAAAAGACCTCCAAGATCATCGAGTCCAACCCTTGGTCCAAATCCAGTCCATTTACTAGATCATGGCACTCAGTGCCGCGTCCAATCTGCGTTTAAAAATCTCCAGGGATGGTGAATCCACCACCTCTCTGGGCAGCCCATTCCAATGCCTGATTACTCTCTCTGTAAAGAATTTCCTCCTGATATCCAACTTAAATCTCCCCTGGCGGAGCTTAAGCCCGTGCCCCCTTGTCCTATTGCTGAGTGCCTGAGAGAAGAGACCAACCCCCACCTGGCTAGAACTTCCCTTCAGGTAGTTATAGACATCTTTCACTAAATCTGATTGCATAAAACCTCCTCCAACCTGACCTTGAACACTTCCAGGGATGGGACATCTACAACTTCTCTGGCAACCTGTTTCACTGTATCACTACCTATATTATAAAAAATTTCTTTAGTATGCCCAAACTAAACCTATCCTCTTTCAGTGAAAAATCATTTTCCCTTGTCCTACCAGTACAGGAGTTGGTTAAATGCTCTCTGCACCTTTCTTATAATCATCCCTTTATATATTGAAAGGCTGTGATAACATCCCCCTTAAGGCTTTTCTTCTACAGGCAGAACAACTCCAGCTCTCTTAGCCTGTCTTCATAGGACAGAAGTTCCAGTACTTTGATTGTTTTTGTAGCCCCACTCTGGACCCTCTCTAAAACATCCTTGACTTTCTTGTACTGGGTTCCCCAGTACAAGGGAAAGTCTTCTTTTAATAAGCAGTAATCCCTGGAATATATAACCAGCATTGAAAGTGCTTCTTACTGCTCTCATCAGATGCAAAAATGGTAATTTTTAAATTATTCATAAACTTTCTTTCTCCTTGAGGCAATATCTGACCCACAAATATGTAAAGGATGAAAAATGTCTCTCTTAGAGATAAAAGAAATGCTGATTTACACAGCATTAATTTAGTTCAGTAAATTAATGTTTTAAGTAAGCATTTTACATATTATATCTAGTGTAAAGGACTGATCAAATAGATATGCTCTCTAACCTGTCTAGCAAAATAGTAAAATAGGTATACTTGATGAAACTGGTTTTACTGAGGCTTATTTCACAAAAGACATTCAGCATCATGTAAATGACCAAGCTTTGACAAGACAGCTTTGTTGGCCATGTGCTTAATTAACTCTTTCTATGTCACTTGATTATTTCAGTTAAGGTTGCCCAGTTTTTGTTTTCTGCTTTAGAAAAAAACCCAACCAAACAACTAAAATCCCCAAACAAAATAAAAAAAAGGGAGAACTACATTTGCTTAAGTTGTAAATTCACAATTGAAGCAGATATTTTAGACCCCTTTTCATTTGCCATCCTGTCACATCTAGATTTGAAAACTTGAATTCTTGCTTTAATGATATCAAGTTATAAAGAGAACAATTTATTTGCTATTCCACTTCTCTATTTCCTCTATATAGAGGTTTTGTTGTTTTTGTTTTTTTTTTAACTTATGACTTAGATACTACCAGGAACAAATTAAGCAAAGTAATAAATACATTTTGAAAAAGATTTCAGAGCCTTTCCCATTGAAGATATCAGGCATTTTAATGCATAATTTTAATGACAATGCTTACTAAATACATAGGTTTCTGTTTTCTTATAGTGATTTGCTTTAACATTTAATATTCCACTTACCTTTTAATCTTGCCAAATCTAACAGCTATTTGAAGGGCTTGACAGTAAGCATCAAGGTCACACAATGAAATCCAAGCTACAGCTGTTTCACTAAAAAGAGTCTGCAGAGAAAAAAGAAATTTATGTAAATCTTTCAAAATACTTTCCCCCCCTCTTTCTTTTTACACAGTGGTTCACATTACAAAATCATTTTACTGTGTACAAAATAGCTAAACTTGGTCAGGATAACATTCCTTATCTGATGTTAACATGGGTTGATCCATACACTGTGAATGAGTAATTCAAGGGGAAGAAAAACTTTTCAGAGAGCAAATAAATATTCTAGGGACAGAACTACATAATTTGCATTCCTTACATGTGGTGACTGTTCTGGGAGAATTCATACACATAGACTCATTGCCTCAGTGGAGCAGCGACATTTCCATATGCAAAAGCACAAGGCAAAATTTCAATGATTTTTTTTTCAAACCAGAATAGAGAAAATCAATAGTTATATATTATTTCTTATTTCTCATCTATCTAATGAAGTGTTTTAGTGGTCTAGATGACACTTGCAAACACTTGCACACAGTCCATTTTCAATGATAAGAGAATGATAAAATTATGATCTGAATTATGAATGGTTAAGGTTGGAAGGGACTTTTTAAAATCATCTAGTTATTTCTTGCCAAATTGCTAATTTTTAATTTCTTTTCAAGAATAGAAGTGAAATTTGAGGTTGTTTTTGTGAACAAAAAATGCTTTTGCTCTATAGCTGGGAAGGACCTAGACTGTGGAATGACACAGTAATCACAGAAAGTTATGAATTAAGCTGCCCTTAATGGCTTCTAATTTATTAGTAGTTGCCTTTCCAGTAAAACAAGTTTCCTTAGGTTAAATATGTCATGCAAACATACCATACATACAGCCACACAGAATTTTATCTCATTCCATAAGATGACAACCAATTCAGGGAGAAATGTATTTATTTTCTATCAGCTCAAATCAAGCAAAAATGTTTAGCTGAAATATTACAGCTCAGGCTGCTACCCCCAGTCATAGAACACATCAAGCTTTAATTTTCTTTTTGAGAACTCTTTATACTGACAAACCTGAATTTTTAGTAGATATAAAAATGTACTTCTAAATGTATATCAAAAATATTCCTGTAAATAGGATTTTTAGAGGAAATGTCGCTTCAGAATTTTTTTCTTATGAGACAAATATATGTCATCCAAACAATAAAACAAAATCCATAGAGAGAAGTGCTATAACAAAATTTACTGAATGGTCTAGGACTATAGTCAGTCTATCGTGTTCTCTGTGAAAGAGTGCTCTAGGTTGACATTTAAAGTCTAGTTAGGATTTTTGTTATACTTAGCAAGAGACAACTTTAGAAAAAAGTCTCAAAGCTTGTTAAAGGTGTGTAAGAGATAATGTATAAATTCCAAGTTTCTTAATGAAGACAAAGTCAAAATAAAACCAGCATGGGAGTGTCTCAAAAAAAAGCTTTACATGTACCAGTACTAATTCAAGCTTATTCATAAAAGAAAGATTTCCCCTCTAGAACAATCGGTTATATATGAGTTCAAGATTTATGACTGAAAAAAGTTATGATTCTTTCTGCATGAAGTTGCATTAAAATCAGAACTCTCCACGTTCTTAAACATATCTCTCTCTGTATGTATGTCTGTATAGAAAAAAAAGTAACAGACCAGCTTAGGTAAACTGTCTATGTGTCACTTTATCTTCTCAAACTTTAAGGAAAATATATAACTCTATATTCTTTGACTTATAGTATGAAGCTTCCAATGAAAGGATTCAAAGGTTGGGGTTTTTTTGAGACACTTAGGAAAACATTTGTATTAGAAATTCGCACTATATACAGTATTTATTTGATATGCAAAAAAAGACACACAGTAATATCTTGAAGCAACTCAGAAGTTATAACCAAGAGACAAACTAAAAACCACTGAAAACTACCTTACCACTTTCTTTGTAGCTGAATATTGTGAGCAAAAGATTAGTACTTATAAAGTCAGAGATTACATTGAAGAAAAGTCTTTGAAAATCTTAGGCTGACTTTACTACTGGCTGTAAAAATTTTTAGGAGTCTAAGGAAAGAAAATATATGTTGGAATGAAAAGAATCGTATGTGTGAAGTACAGCCACAGATCGATTGACATTATGAAAAAGTTTTCTTTCTACAAAAAAATTGGTAGGTAAAAGTAGAGTTTCTGGAAATAGGTTTGTTCAGACTACATGTATGTTTACAGAAATACATAACACAGCATCTACTAGGCCAAGTACTCTTGCAAGAGATGTACAATATTAGCAACTTAACCAGAACTGCAGAGAGGATAATGCTAATATTGATGTTCTTTGTTTAGTAATATATAGCTGTCGATCATATATTAAAAAATTCTAGTTATCCAATACTGAATGATCATCTAAAAATATGATGTTTGATACTAAAATGGTATTCAGAAATAAGCAAGTCAAAGAAGAAAACAGGGATTGTTTATAGCAATACGTGCACATCACAAGAAGGTTTTTTGTTGCTGTCACTGAACCACTGCTCATCTGGAGACATGATTGCCAGCCACCTGGTTCAGAAATATAGAGACATATGGTACAGTTATTAGTGCTGACCCAAAGTTATTGCAGTAAACATATCCCAAATTTGAAAAAAATATAAATATTCATTAAAAAGGTAAATAAATGTGTTCTATTATAAATTATATTCTGTAAATACAAATGTTTTCAGCACCAAATCAAAACCTTCTGAATGCTGAGTTCACTATAATTTTGGGAGTTAAGCATAATATATCTATGAATTTCAGTGATATCCAATAAAATTAAATGGAAAAGAGAACAGCAAAATGAAAATATAACATCATGCTGATTAACATTCAAATACAAAATTGGCTAAGGTCTGAATTAGCATAGCCACTTTGCAAATGCAGCTATAAATCTTAATGTGGTCTTAAGTAACAAGCCAAAATCAATGAATGTATTAGAAATGAAATGGTAAACATTGCAATCCTACTGATCAGAAAAGAAAAACCCAGAACTAAATAACAGTTAAAAAACCCCAAACAACTCAGCTGTCTCTTATAACTTATTCCATTCAAAAACCTCATTCCACATTTGTCATTCAGTGCACGAGTGCATTTTACAATAAAAGTTCCCGCAAACAAACAATTTTATTGGAAATTCTTGTAACCTCTGAGAAGTCAGACTTAGTCATTTAAGACTACACATGAATATAATGAGATATATCTTAAACTAAGGTAATGAAAATCACCCAAGATGATCTCTCATGGTAGTGGAGCATCTATAGTATCCAGAGAAAGGACAATATTTTTGACATGAATGTTTCCAGTAGAACTAATTGCACTTTAAATGAAATTTCTTGTGTCAATTACAAGTCTCCAAAAAATTCACTATAAAAATGAAAGCTACTTTCAAAATCAAAATACCACAAACAATTCAGGCATTGATTTCTTGTGGAAAGCTTTGTAACTCATTTTTGAATCATTATTAATAAAATTTTGCAATCAAATCTATTTACTGTTGAAAAAATGTTATAATTAAAACTCTTCATAGTGTCCTTATCCCATAAGTTTCTTGTACCTTAAAATACAACTAGAAACCTTAAAAAACTGAACTCTAAGGTGTTTCAAAATGAGTGAGTTATGCTTTAGTGGAGTATTTATTTTTATGTAAGTATGCAAGCCCAATTAGTTTACGGCATAACCAGTATTCTGCTCTTAAACAGTATTTATATTATACTTCTACTTGGTTTTGATTTCTATACTTGAAGAAGTAAAATTTTTTTGATTCCTACCAAAAATTTTAGTTGCAAGGAGACATGGAAGGTTACAATATGGGATGCGAATTCCCTAATGAGTAACAGAAGCCGAAAAATCCTGTTAAAAAGATTACAATCAATTAACTTCTTCAGGAAATCAAAGCTGAAGACAGATGGAACTGTGACTACAAGAAGCGCTGTCTCCAATGGTCAAATAGTGGAAAAGATATGTTCTAACACAACTGCTTGTTGACTTTCATGCTAAATGTCCGAAAATTAAGATTATAATGTGAGAGTTATGGACAAAAAACCTTAGAAAATACTGAAAGATGCTATTATATTATGTGTTATATGTAATTGTAATAAGCTTTTGGCTAACAGCAGTTCCTGATACTGCAAAGAACATCTAGATTTTACAGATAATATCTTCAACTCTGCTTTAATAATGTAGTTAACTAGTCTAAGAAAATGATAAGTAAAATTATGCATCAAGGGGGAGAAAAGTATAAATGTGATCAGTCTAGGCAGTGTAGATAAAATACAGTAAAGATTATGAGCCAACTGCAGGTTTCAAGATATTTGTTTGTAATTATTTGATTTTGGTCCAAATGAAATGAAGCATTATTTTCCTCTCAAACTTCCCATGATGAAAAATATCCTAACTTTTTCCAGTTTCTCTTTCTTCTAGATCTTCCCAAAACAACAGGTTTTCCAGGTTAAAGCATAGATCTGCAGCAAGAACCATTGGAAAGATTACCATTCTTCCTTCTGTATAGATTGTTGCCAGCTCAAGTTGCAAAAGCAGTCATACCAAACAGTAAGGTATGAACACACGATGGGAGGGTGTAGAAGACTCTCCTCAGTAGCACCCAAGAAGAATTAGACACAAACTGAATCCATTTAAGTGTGAGAAGAGACTTAATTGTGAGAGTGGTCAAACACTGGAACAGGTTGCCCATAGAGCTTGTGATGTCTCCATCATTGGAGATACTTGAAGCCATGAAGAACGTGCTCTGTAGCTGACTCTGATATGATCAGTGGCGTTGGACTAGATGATGTCCAAAGATTACTGCCAACCTCAGCTATTCTGTGATTTCATGAAACAGACCTAGAAGCTCTATAACATGGTCAAGTTGTCCAAACTGTGGACCTTGTATCCCAGGTTATTACGCTCCCAGGGAGGCAGTTACAGTATGCCACTATTAGGATTCGGTTGAAACAAATAGGGTCTGCCGTGTTTCCATGACTGCTGGATCCAGGGCGTAGCTTTCCCACATGGTTCCTTCCAGTCAGGACCTCATAAACACT